CTGAGCTGGCCACACACACACACACACACACACACACACATAAATAAATAAAAAAAATTAAAAAAAATTATAAGCATACATATGAATATTTGAACTGGAAGATCTACTTTTGAGAAGAGGAAACGAAACTTTTTGAAAACTAGTTTCTTTTTTTTTGTGGAATGGTAGGAAGGTCTCTGCTTTACATCCATTATATTTATTTTTTTTAACTAAATGTGACCCATTAAATAATGTAAGGTATGACTTGATTTCCTTCTTAGTTTTTGTTTTGGGAACATTTGGAATAAAAAGAAATAAAAGTATATCCCTCTTAGCCTCTTTTTCTCTTTCTGTCTTACAATTTCAATAATTTTAACAATAAACAGTAAAATGATAGAGTATATAAACACATTGCTCAAGTGAACCCATCATGAACCTAAGTCTGAGAATGGTTTCCTAAATAGAGGAAGTGTGTTTCATATAAAAAGCCCATTTTCTGTTATTGCCTTTTTATTTGGACTACTGGATGGTATGTATTCTAAGGCAATTTTAATAGTTTCCTGTCTTTCATTAAGAAGAATGACTTGTCATAATGAGCAATGTAGACAGTGTATTTGATCCATCCCAGAAAGCTATTTGATACAATAATAAATTATCTCAATTCTTTTGTCCAGTGAATGGAGTATAAATGAGACAAGAATAAAAAAAGTGGTCAGTTCTAACAGAAGGCAACAAAGGACTGAGACATTTGGAGGCCTGTTTTAATAAAAAAACATGACAACTCAGAGATCTGTGTGACAATTGTAAAGGGAGAGAGAATCCTAATATAAAACATCCATGAAATAGTTTCTTTATTATCTAGAAAGTAGAGTATTTTATACTTTGAGAATAATAGTTCTCAATTCTTTGAAATAAGAAGGACCTGTTTCATAAAATCACTATAATTCTTTAACTCCACTAAAAAATTTTTTTAATGTTCATAATTCTTTCTATAATTCATCACGTTTCTGAGTAAGAATTTTGTACTGCACTTAAGGGTAATAGATTTTTTTTGGTGGTACCTTGTTATTATTTTGTATATTTTATTTCAACTGTAAAGTTTATGTTTTATTATTTTGTGAGGTAAAACATGGACATCCAAGTATTCTAAATTTTCTTTTCACAGTGTTTGGTATTATTCCTTAAGAGAAGTATACAAAGACGTCAAACTGCATTTGAGTACTTAAGTTTTTATTAGTAGCATTTGAGAAGATACATGCACATATCTGCTTCTACATGTATGTGTGCACGTGTGTGTACAGGATTGAACCCAAGGCCTTGCATATGCTTAAGCACCTCCTGTACTGAAATCTGTTGATGAAATATTAATAGAACCATTACTCTATGTTAGGTTTAGGGTTTCAGCTCGGGATAAAACAAAAATTATGACAAATCTTGTGCTGTATTGGAGCTACTAAGTAGTTGTAGAGTGATTCTCAAAATGAAATTAGGATAGCCTGCATTTAACCATAGGAATTGTTTTAAAAGACTGAACCAGAAGACCTAGGACTAGCATTCATAATCTAATAGGTTCTCTCTGTAATTGTAATGCAAACTGAAGTATAAGGATTGACTTAGAGGTTACAGGGTAGAGGAATAAACAATGTACATTTCCATTGATCTGTGATACAAAGTTCAAAGTACAACAGTAGCATCTAGGAAAGATAATAGCTAATGGTCCCTACCTCTACTAAGGGAAATGTTGGTAAAAGCTAGAAGGCGAGTTCTAAAAATGATGTACCTTGTTTCCATTCAATTTTACCCAGAGAAATAAATACAGTCAACGCTCATGAAATGCTGTCTTGCTGCTCCAGTCTGGAGACTTCTATCAGACGCTCTTCTTCTTCAGTAGCTCCAGAGTATTTTCCTATGAAAAACATGATTAACGCATAGAGAAGCTACCAGTTGAGGGTCTTGTATGTAGTGTCTAACCTCATATACAATAACACACACACACACACTTTAAAGGGGCCAGAATGTGTCTTTGGGGGTTTAGAGTGAACAGACGTTATAATTCTATTTTAATCACCACCAGCAATTTATTTATTATAATCTTTGCTTGTAAATGGTCAGTGGCACCTAACATCTATTTAGCCTTATATTTATTTTTCTCCCTCTCAAGCATACGATCTAGAACTCACTTTTCTTTCTTGATAGTGGAGGAAATAAGTAAGTCCAAGGCTAGAATTAAGTTGAAAAGTCATTTAAGAGTCAGTACACTTCCCAGAGTAGTTCTTGACTGGCCGCTCAGAGAGGACTGGCGGAAGTTGGAACTTGGTTACCTTCATTCATTCGGACAAAGGCCATGCTAGTTTAGGGCGGTCTAGGTTTTCCTTGAGCGTTACCAGGCGAGGTACTAAATATCGGTGGGGCTGTCCTTTAGTTGGAAGGCTTCTTTATCATAAAACCTGTAGGCACTACAGATGCATTATTTCTGGAGTTTCTGGAGAAATGGTCTGCGTTTGCCGTAGTGCCAGTACTCAAAATGGCGGCCAGCCGCCTCACACACCCGGTCAGGTGATTCCGCCCCTCTCCGCCCCCTTTTCTACAGCTGCCCCTCCTCCCGCTTCCTGACGTGTGTGGGCGTGGCCTGCCTAGAGCCCGTGGAGGCCCGTAGAGCTGAGAGATACGCATGCGCAGCTGGCCCTCGCCAGCTTTGGCGCCTCCTCCCCGCCGTTCGCCCTGCCCCGGTTTTTCGGGCGGGGCCAAGTCTGGAGTCCAGCTGGTGCAGGCTGGAGGGTGATTCAGTGACTTCCTCGTTGCGAGTCCCGGCCTGGCAGTGTCCGGACTCGCACCCCTGCTGTCCCAGCTTGGACCGCTAGCCCGAGTGTAGATCACAGCCACAGCCCCACCCCGTCGATCCCCCTTGCAGGCTAGGTCCTTCCCAGCGCTCCGCTAACATGCCCAGTCCCAGCACCACCTCCTCTTTCTACCCCCTCCCCGATGAAATTAGGAACCTGTTGTCAGGTAAAGCGCGGGAAGGGGGAGGGGAACGCTGCTCATGGGACGGCGAGCCGGTGGGGACAGAAGCTTTGTGTTCTCGCCCGGCCGCCGCGCGCCACACCTGGTCGTCGGACCCGAGGGGGCGGGGCGAGGAGGGCAGCGGGGCGTTTGGGGTGAGGGAGGGAGTGGGCGTGTGTGCGATCTCGGCGAGGGGATGGTGGGGAAGCCACCTTGATGTTCTACGCTCGCAGGACCAGGACAGTTTTGTAGGTTTCTTGGAGACGGCATGTATAGAGGGTGGGGAGACAGAATGTTCCCGAGTGCTTTTGTGAGAACTGGCAAGGCAGCAGAAGTCAGGTCGTTCTTGGATGGCCTGGATCTTGCAGACTGTCCGAGCCACACGTGTTAGGGGTTTTGAGATGGAAGGGTGTGTCGTATTTAAAACTCCCACTTTTCTTTAACTTTCAGACCGTTTATATCCAAGACTTTGAAAGAGAGCCTGATTCTCAGATGCCCAGTTATGGGCAGCCATAGTAAGGGAAATGAAAAGGAAGGATGTGTTGAAAGTCGCACTTCCTGTGGAGCATGATGAAAGCACTTCATCTTTGCGCCCTCATCTTCCCCTTTTCAGTTCTACATCCCAGTTATGGGAACCGGTTTTTTTTTTTTTTTTTTTTTTTTGAGTTAAAAATGGGATTCTTCAGTGCTATTATGAATCTGCTGTTGGTTCAGTAGTGTGGTGGATATGAAGGTGTTTATTTTCACTAAGGATCAATGAAGACTGTACAGTTCTGCACAGGGTAGAAAATGATCTTTTTAGGGTACCACAAATGTTGCATGTCCTGATGTTTGGAAATTCTTAGCATTAGTCACTTCGCCTGGTGTATACCAGGATTTTGGAAATTTAGTGAGATAAATAAAATATTTATCTCTTAATGTTGATCATGAATTAAAAGATTAAAAGAACATCTCTCAGATGTCTGTGCTACAAGTTGCCTTTTTAACTGTCAAAAAGCAATGTCGTCTAAAATGTCGTATTTGATGTGGTAATTTAGGGCTGGCAGTGTGAGAGCAGGTGTCCAGATGTGCTGTTGCGCTGTTTTGGTGGTCAGCATCATGAGGATGATTGAGAAAACTCTGTGGATGTAGACTTCTGCTCATGGGACATGGTATAGTGGGCTGAATGCACTCACAGTGGGACAGTGGGTAGACTGCACTCTAGGAAGTGCTGAGTGTCATTACCACTGAAGCATATACTGAAAGAACTGAGCTTTTGTGCTATTATTTGAGAGTTTACATGCATACTAATTGTTTTGATACAATTAACATTTTTGTTGCTCCAATGCTGCATTTACTTCTTCAGAAAATTATGGTAATAAGATCACAGAAGTGCTTATCTTTATTTCAGAAATATGCCAGTTTTCAGATTTTTTTAGGTGAATATTTTTAGGTTTAAGAATGAAGAACAGACCTCTACGAGTTTTAAAAGATTGTCAGCTTCCATAGTAGGCAGTTTGCTATTTGAATCCACAATCATATATGCCCAGATAGAATGATAGATACCTCGATTATGAGGCGTTTATTCTCTGATCTCCATTAGATCAGAACTATCTCTTGTGGCTCTTATCTGTATAATTTCACAAAAGCTCAGAATTACGTATTTAAATTGTCTTCCAATGCTAACTTCCTATACATTTCTGCTTTCTCTCTTAAGTCAGATAATATTCAGACATAACATCTGAATTTAGGTTTTTATGTCACTGACATCTCCAGTATTTCATGTTAAAGTAAATTATAATAATCATACAAGATATTAAAAAATTCCAAACCTTTAAAACTTCTAAAATTAATAACTTGGATTATACTTTATTTTCAGAGGTTGTTTTCAAAAGGTGTAGATCTGAGTCGGGGTAGATACATATCTAAAGAAATGAAACAAGTGTAGTGTTACTCAGGGTTTAAAACTTTTTTATATATTCAAGGAAAGTTGTGTTTAACTGTAATTAAAGTTTTTGGGGATTAGAAAAGGCTTTAAGAATAGATGTTCTCAGCACTATTTTGCATATTTCATCCAAGAATATCTGGGATGCATCATGATTTGCATAATTCAAGTAAATTAGTACATGATTGGGTGATAGTACATGATTAGATTTTGAATTTCGAAACTATAGGTGAAGTGTTTGTATTGATTTGAATTTTGGAAGCATGGCTTGTTTATTGCCTACCTTGTACAATTTTTCTTTTAAACTAAGAAGGAGTTGTTGATTCTAGAGATTGTAAACAGTGGAGTATTGTTAGTATACATCATAGGATGCTAGATTTCAAAAACAGGATAAGGAATTAGGCCTTTCAAGAGTTTAGAATCTTACCCTTTTAGAGAAAATATAAAGTCAGCAGATAATAACTTTCAGAATGTAGTATTGCTGAGACATTTCCAATTGTCTTTCATGTACCTAGTGTACAAATCATTATATGTCATATATGTTAAGTATTTGACATTTAGCTGCTTGATGTGCTCAAATGTATTCATGTATTTATGCTTTTGTCTTTTTTTCCTTCCTGAGGCTTTCATTTTTAGGCTCATATTTAATGATTTCTTTGACAAGTGATAATATAGTTTGTTAATCCAATTTTTCTATAGAATCAGTGTATGAAATCTTGAACACATATATTTTATGAAGTGTTGAATTAGTATTTTGTTTACATAAAAGGAAAAGAATTTGAAGAATTTTGTTGTTCTGTAAACAAGTTATGAACCACCATATACACTGTAGGCAACCTTTGATCCCCCCATATCAATGGAGAATAGGTTTATTTTGGATAATTAAACTCAGAGAACTTTGTTCATGCAACTTTCTTCCATATCCAAATATTTTGACTAGTTCAACAAGCCAGAATAATCTCGACTTAATGTGAGTTTTTTCCTTCTGGCAGCCAAGAAAGTGTGAGGAACTAGAATCACTGCCTGCTAAACTCAATTTGTGTAGTCACCTTTTGCATGTAGTTTATTAGTAGTTTGCAAGCAGATGTTCTCATTCACTCTCATTCTTTCATTTCATGCTAACAAATTTTAAAAGGAAATCAGCAAGGGTAGGTGGTCCTCTTTTTAATAAGTTAGAAAATGAAACCAGTGGCAAAGAAACCAGTTGTCAGTGCATGGCAAAAATAAAAGTCAAACCAAATAAAGAGCAAACAAAGTGAATAGATGGTTTCTGAACAGTGACCTTGAGATTTTTGTTGACAAGGCACTTGTGATTTCATAAATATTGCATTTTCTTCTGTTGGGGATTTCCAGAACATTGTTTTTAACCTTCATACATTATAATTGATAATCCCTTTGGGGCACTAGATAAAGAATGCAATTCAGTTGAAATAGAGGCAGAATTCTTAAATGCTTAGCATTGTACGTTTTGCTTTCCACCTTTCCATCACATTTATAATTTGGTCAACATTTTGGTTTTATTTTTCCTATGAGAATCATTTATGGTGTATCCAGTGTACCCTAACTTCCTTCTGGGGTATTGGCTGAGTATGTAAAGGGAAGAGTGCCACCTACTGAGTCACCAGTAGTCACCTTAGCACCTGGATTTTCCAACAGAGCAAGAACAAGCCTGTCCTATTTAGGCAACAATAACTGTTGAGCATAGAGTTGATATGAGAACATATAATCTGAAAATGAAGTCAATCTATGACACCTCTGAGATTTTCTCTTCTAGAAATCGAAGCAAGATCATGTCTATAAAGACACCAGAAGATTATAGTGTCATATACAGGCAAATGGTATAGTGAGGAAGTCAAATAGTACTGTGTAGGTGAATTAGGAAAATTATTGGCCTATTTATGTTAAGCATATAATGTCATACTTTTGTTGGGAGGGAGATTTTGGCATAGCTTTCCATTGAAAATATTTTCATCTCTGATTACTAAGTAGGATTCTTACTGTTTTCTACAATTTTATGGAAAATTACTTTTGTTTATTTTGCAAAGAGAAATCTAAATATACTAAAAAGTGAGCAGTATATGAATAATTTCAAGTTACTTTGTCTCTACTGATAGCAGCATTCAAGTATTGATAGAAAGCATGTAGAAACAATAGAGCATGAAAAGCCTCCAGTGACTTGAAACACAGTTCAGTTGTCTCTCATAAATTTAAAGTTAAGTGTCATGTATGGGTGATAAAAATGGGGTAGGCTAGGGTTTATATACTCATTATTCACTTAGTTTGCCTTTTTCAATTAAAGCCAAGTCTTATCTTTTTCATTCCATTGAGTTAACATTTCTTTTTCAATCACATTCTGAACACATAACGATAGATGCTGCCTAACAGTGAATGTGGTGTAAATCTCTGAAAATGTGTGGTAAAAAGATTTTGATTATTGTAAAATGCTGTTTATCAAGAGTCATCTTTTTGAGGTTGAAAGATGGTCAGCCATATCTTTCATCGTACTTGCCTTCTATCTGAGTAAATCATTTAATCTTTCAAAGCCAATATTGAAAATTTTGTGAGATGATTGAATTGTGAAGACTTGGGTGTGTTTTACTCATTGTACTGTAAGAACTGTGTTTGCTCCTGTGTCTTTCTCTGTTTGAAAACTCCACAGTTCTATCATAACCTATAAAAGGGCTAGGTAATCAGGAGAAAGACATTTATCAGAACAATCAATAACTTTTCAATTAGCCATTTTCCAACTTTGGGAATTTGGCTCCATTAATCTATGTGTGCCTATTTTGATTGATTTTTATATTTTTACCAGTAGCTGTTTGGTCAGATCATTCTCTGCTGCAACAGAAACGTCCTTTTGTTCTAAGTAGCATAAAGCCTAGGCTAGTATTCTTTTTTTTTTTTTGTGGAACCGGGGATTGAACTCAGGCCCTTGCGCTTGCCAAGCAAAGGTATTCTTAACATTAAATTTAGTGACAGATTATGTTAGTGAACACAAAGTAAATAAAATCAAAGGAGATGTAGAATGAAATAGTAAAGCCATTTGGGGTGCTCTGTGACTGGTTTTACACTTATTGTACTGATGTATGGGGGACTTAGGCCAGTTCTGGCTCTTCTATATAATGCAGGCCCTCACAGAGGCTGTGTGCATATGCATGCCTGGGCAGGGGGATTTCGGGTGGCTTGGGGACTAGGGAGAAGACATAGGGTATTCCATTGTGCCTTGTTTACAATTTAAGCCTTCAGGTCCTCTCCCAACCTATTTGGTAGTGGGGGATGGGAAAGAAAAGTAGTTTTTAAGGAAGAGAATCCATGCTAGGTACACAACTCAGAGAAGCTGGTGGTTTATTTTACTCTTTTTGAACTTTTATTTTTTTTATTTTTTTCAAATTTTTATTGATAAACAGATAGCAATGAGACAGTTTCAAATCAAATCGGAAGTACAGTTTCAACAAATAATACACTGCATATATTCTTCTTAGTGGTTAATTGCTGTACAAGATGCGGACTTGTGATCCTATTTACAAACACCATTAGAACAAATCATTCCATTCATTAAGAGAATGCAACTATATATCTATCCTAACCACTTTGAATACACAGATACAAAACGGACATTCATCGGTATACCTCATTTTTTCTATCCGTTATTGAATATTATAGGTGTGTAAACTCAGCAAAATATTCTAAAAGAGTCCAGTGGTTTATTTTACTCTTGGCAAGAATTGAAAAACTGTTGTAACCATATGTGGTTCCACATTTTCACTGCGTGTTGTATGTGGAAGTTGGTAGAAAGCAGCCTCTGTGTGTGTGTGTGTGTGTGTGTGTGTGTGTGTGTGTGTGTATTAGATACCTGTCCCGGTCACTCTGGACTCTAGATGAAGATGGGGTGCCAGTTTGTCAGGCTGCCTAATCTGTCTAGGACATCAGTAGGTAAAACAAAACAAACCAAAACAAAAACCTTAGTGAGTCTTATGTTAAGTGTTTGCCTCTTAAGGGTGGAGAGATAGCTATTGAGAGGTTTTTAACTTAAATGGCTTAAGGATTGCTGAGCCAGAACATCTCATCTTTTAATTTTTCTCAGACCTTTTGTACTTTTCTACAGAGAAGTTATAAATCTGATCATTTCAGCGGCCTTCACGGCAATTCCTTACAGCTGTGCTTGGAGATAAAGCTTACTCTTGATAACGCCAAGGTGTAAAAGGAGCAAAAATCACCACCATATTTAATTTTACCAGCATAAAGCTTTTTTCCTAATGATGACGTGGCGGTCAGTGGAGGTAGGGATGGGGATAATTCTGGAGTTAAATGTAGGCAGCACAGACCTCCAGTTCAGAGGCTGCGGGGCTGAGGAAGCTTGACACGGTGCCTTCTCCTGGGCTCCGGGCTTCTTTCCCAAGGCGGGTGTCCTTGTCCTGTGGCGTGAGTGGACCCCCTCACTTGGAGAAAGAGGAGTTTGAACTCACCAGTCCAAGAAGCATATGAAGGAAAGCCGGCTGACCCTTTCTTGTAATCAAATTGCGATGTTTACCGGAATTACAGGCAGTCAGGAGTCAGTGAATCTACATATTAACCGAGGGACACGACCCCTAAAGAAAGGTAAAAGAGGGCCAGTGTGTTTGCTAGTTTACCCTGTTAGCTACTTTGCCATTTGCAGGGCTATTTAGAGCACAATAAAAAGCTTCAAATCTCTTTTCCAACCAGCCAGAGGAGCGCTTGATTCACCCAAGACTTTTATTGCTGGCTTTTGAAATATTACCCTGGCTTTGAGCTACAAAGCCGCAGATCCAGCCCCATTTGTCTGGCGCTGCCCCAAACTCAGCTCTCCCGGCTCCCAGCTCCCAGCTCGCAGCTCCCTAGAGAGGAACCTTGGTGTTTAACACTCAGAGGGTCTAGTTTTTCGGTGGCCAGGGATGGAGCATCTCCCAGGATAGCCCAGGTCGCTTCTTCCCCAGCCTCAGCGCTACGGGGAGTGCAGCCCCCAGCTGGAGGCTGCCAGCGCTGCGGCTCATCTGGTGTCGAGCAGGGAGGCTGTTTTATTCCATTTGAAAATTAACGTACAAAGTGTAGATTTAAAAAAAAAATAACTTGGATTTCAAAAGCTTAAAAACAACTCAGTTGGTGAACAAGCAGTAATTAAGATTACTGCAGGCACTGCTGCCAGTTAAAATTCTTATTTGCTGAAAAGATATGAATAGCAAAGCAGTTCTTACTCTCCAGATGTCTTTTGTGAAACAATTACCAACAAAGTCAGTGTTTCTTATTCTTTCAGTTTCCTTAAACCCTTTTCTGAGAAAAGTTTGGGAATAAAAAATTTAAAATACTACTCTAAATGTACAGAGCTCCTTCCTTACCCCACCCGGGAATCCCCTCCCCTTGAAATACACTGACTGTTCCTGCAGCTCCAAACTCAACAAATATTGCTTCATAAACAGAAGCATTGGTCAGTATTTTATAAACATATTTAAGAGGTTTTAAGAAAATGCATCAGAATATCGCAGCCTTTTTTAATTTTCTGAATTTTTATAGAACTGAGATGACTTTTTAAAGAAATAACTCTTGGGTTGTAATTTGTTCTGTTATTGCTTCCAGAGCTAGAAAATAGATCTTGTTTGTTTAAACTTGAATTGTATAATGAAAATGTAAAACAGGCAATTAAATACTCATGGAAGAGGGAATTAATGACAAACATTGAGTGAAAATAGCATTAAGCAGACTATTCACTAGTCATTGTGCCAGTGATCCTCCCAAGTATTGAGTCCCCTTGGAGGAAGCGTCAGCAGTAGGATTACTACTGCTGCTGCTCTTCTTCTTCTTCTTCTTCTTCTTCTTCTTCTTCTTCTTCTTCTTCTTCTTCTTCTTCTTCTTCTTCTTCTTCTTCTTCTTCTTCTTCTTCTTGAATTACTGTATGAATTCTCAGGGAAGCGAATGATCTGGGTCTAATTTGCACTAGTTCTGGATTATGTCTCTCTGTCCCCTCTCCAAAATAAGAGCAACTCAAGGAAAGAGAAGCTAGGATACTTTGTTTTTATCTCAATTTGATACTTTTAACATATTAGTTGTTAATGGACTTCAAACCTTGTAAAAATTACTACAAATTAATTTTAATTCTTTCATTTGTCATATTGACTTAGGGAAAAATTACCTTTACACATTTGTAATGACTATAAGTTTGATTACCTTTTCTCATTGGATCAAAGTATTTTTGTAATCAAGAATTAAAAAAAAAGAATTTAAACTTGATTACAAACATCTATCTCATATATTAGGTTTTAAGTAGTTAATTTAAATATAGTTGAAAGATTATTACATTTCTTTGCATTACATGTAATATTTTGTTGTGGTATTATCTTTTTGTCAGTATAAGTTAGGAGATAATAGTTTAAGAAGAAAGTAAGATATACATGATTCTCTTCAATATGAAACATGGATGATTTATAACCATGCCTACTTTAGAACATTTAAGGTATCTTCTATATTAGATAATTCAAAATGAGTTTTGAAATTCCAAAAATGAAATTAAGTTGGGCACTATTTCATGAACAGTGACAATGGAATTATTATTATAGAAATCTAACCATCAAGGACTTATAATTTTGTATGGGAGAGAACAGAGTAATTTAGTTTACTAAAATTTTAAAACATAGGCCATGGGGAAATGAAATGTGAGGTTATAGAAAACTTATTTCTTGCATACTATATTTTAAAATAATGAATGTGAGAAATATTCCAGGTGGTAAGAACAGAGCAGGAACCAAGAGCTCAGAGAGCTGCCCAGAGTAGGTGTTGTAGTTAGCAAGGAGGATGTGATTTAGGAATCTTGGCTAGAAGCAAAGGGCTTATTTTTTCTTTAAAGCATTAAACATTATTTATTCTTAAATGTATTACACTGGGAAAAACAGATCCTTGCCTAAAACATTAGTGTATTTTGACATAATACTGTGAATGACTTGTTCATATAGGATGTTAGAAAACACTATAAAATGATAGTGACACATGCATAAAAGCTTGGTGCTGGCTTTTAAATGAGATTTTGTTTTATGGGATACCATAGTTTATTAAAACTTTTGAACATCTCTCTGGTTTAATGGTGCCAAACATCCAAATAGTATCTGCTATGCTAAGCCGAAGAAAAGCGTACAAATTTTATTCACTCAGTGGTGAACAGATTTGACCAGCTTAGTATTTGAAGCATACTTCCACTGTTATGCTTTGGATTGATGAAATAGCTATAACAAATTGTACAGATATTGGTACTTATGGGAAGAGACAATCATTGTTCTAGTTGTCTTCACAAAAAATGATTCTTCTAATTTGTATCCTGTTTCTTATATTTAATGTTTTAGATGTTGAAACATTCGTAGCAGATGTACTGAGAGGGGAAAATTTATCCAAGAAAGCAAAGGAAAAGAAAGAATTCCTTATTAAAAAGATAAAAGATGTAAAGGCTACGTAAGTCATTTGCTTTTATTACTTTGAAGTAATTTTATAAATAACATCATAAAGAATTATCTCAGAATTAATTTTTATACTCTAATTTATTGCTGTTATATATTTTTAAAGGACAAAAAATATTTTTTAAACACAAGCATGCTTATCATAATACTGTTTTATAAAGGTTCTCAATGGTATATTTTTAAAAATATTCTAACATATCCAACTGTTTATTTTTATTATCTGAGGGAGTACTTGGTTTAAATAAGATGTAGATAGATTAAAGATTTTTATGTGAATATGGAAAATGCCTCAGATACTGAAAAAGAGAATCCTTTTGTTATATTAAATAAGTAAAATATACATTAAAGAAATTGGAGACATACCGTCATTTGACTGCTCTACATAGATCTCAGGAAATTGTTATTTATCTATATGTATATTTGTAATACAGGTTTTGGATTTTAATTACTGCTACTGATTAGACCTTGTTTTGATTTTTCAACCACATTTTACAATATGTTATTTATTTTTCAGGTATCTTCAGGAATTTCAAGACAGAGGTAAATTTCAAACTTGCATTTTTTTCTTTTTGAAGATTTTTAGTAGGATAATTAACACATCTTGAAATTTGATAGTTGGAATGAAAATTTAAATTTCTATACTATATTGTGTGTATTTAGAGCTTCAAGATGAGAGTGCTAGCTCCCCCTGCTGAGAAAAAATTAAAAAGCAGATCCAGATTTTACTCTGCAGTTTTCTGATGCAGAAAATGTAACAAATTTAACATTCTTAGGTTTTGTAATTCTTAAAGTACTTTGTGGGAGAAATTTGTTAGGTATACCTGAGCTAACTTGGAGTAATGCGGTGAAGCAGGGGTGAGACACTTCCCCAGTGCTGTGTGACACTGCAGAGGTTGCTTCACGGAGGGGAGGAGCAGGAGGGCTTGTGGCCCAGTGCTCATAGCTCATGGTTTTGAAGGGTGCCTTGAAAACCATACAAATTTTGTTTGAAAATATGAATAAAGTATTTCTCAAACATTAGTTTTATCTTTCCTGTGACTTACTTGTTTTGACTAAAGGTGTGTCTTAGAGAATTTTAGAGATGGGAATTCAGTTTTATTTTATTTCTGAAACGAGGAGTGCTAGTGAACTTTCTTCCTTTTGGTTTGGGCCACAGCCGTTTAGCAGGCTGGAAACCAGGTTAGGCAAGGCGTGCAAAGTTCCGGCTACTTCCCATCTTGGGTTTGTGAGGGAAGCCGGGGATGGCCCTTATTTCCATGATGCTAATTCATAGGTCATGACCTGCAGCTTGTGGATGCTGGCATGAGGGTCACAATATGAGGTCAGTTAACTTACAGGGAGTGAGGCTGCAAGGTTTGGGGACAGGACTGCGTGGCCTGGGCTCACTGGGATTAGCAGATCCCACAAGGAACTCATATTTGTGCTAACTGATAATCGTGAGAGGATAATGACAGTTCCGATAAACCAAGTACTTAACCAGAGAAACCTAACACCAGCTAAAAGGAGGTCACAGTTTCTATCACGTGAAATTAACCAAGATGGTGGATTTGAAGGGACTGAGAAAAGATTTTCTTCTATATGAAGATTTTAACACTATTAAACAGTAGAACAGGAAACTCCCTTCCCTACATACCAACTTTTTGTGCCCTACAGTGAATCCTAAATTCTGAGCTCAACCCTGTTGCATTCTGCTTAGTTGCATATAGAAATAAATTTATGCATTTTAATCATGATAGCTTTTATATAGTGTACTATTTATGGGGCAGCATGATATCTGTTTCTCTTCTTAAGAGGCATATTTTATTCCAGTGATTATTTATTGAGCTCTCATTGTAGCTTAATTGTTGGTACATTAAACAATTTTAAGATAAGAAAGCATAATAACATAAAGGCATTATATAATTGCATATGATTTAATAATAGTGTAGGAACTTTCCCTTTGGAATTTTGGTTTAGAACTTGTTCAGGTGTGTGGATATTAAAATTACATTACTGAGATGCATTTTTGTGTCTCCAAAGAGAATGAAAGTTTATATAGTATTTGATAGAAATTGAAAAATGATCCTAAAATAAAGAGTTCAAATAACACAAAATTTAGAGATTCCCTATCATCATTTTCCTCTGAAGAACTCATTTGTAGCTCAATCCCGCTATACTGACTTAACTAATCACCAAGAGTGCCCGCTGAAGTAAGCCTGTGGATAAATTACACATTTACCTTGGAGAAACACAAGAAGCTAAGTAATTTTATGCCGTTGTTCCCTCAAACTGTATTCGGCTTTGTTTTGAAAAGACTACTCTATGTTGTTTGTTAGGAATGGTGAAGGGCTCAGACTTAATAATTGCAAAGTAATTATCCAAGATACATCTCTTTTAATATTAGGAATGTGTTATTGAATGTCTACATTGACTAAGTTCACTCCTACCTATGTTTTGATGGTAGTGTCCCCGCTGTCCCTACATTTTCCTCTAGGGGCTTAGGATTGTCTGCATCCGAGGCGAGCTGCACAGAATTCCTTTTAGTCATTATCTCTCTGTCTCCCTCTGTGTCTCTCTTGGTCTCTGCCTCTGTCTTTGCCTCTCTCTCTCTCTCTCTCTCTCTCTCTCACACACACACACACACGCACGCACGCACACACGCACACAGAGTCTTTCTGGTTATTTAGAGCCACAATGAAGTAAGCAAACAGTTTTCTTTTTATCTTTATACCCCAATTTTTAAAAAATACCTTATTTTATGAAAATAACAGTTGAATACCATTTTAATATCATTGTTGGATGCTGGGGATATAGCTCAGTGACACAGTGCCTGCCTGGCAAGCGTGAGGTCCTGGGTTTGATTCCCAGTTCTAAAAAAAGAAAAACTCATGGGGGGATGACCAAATACAGAATTCTTCAATAAAACGATTCAATTCAGATTAATTTCTATGGCTACTACAAAGACAACAGTATGCAAACTGAACTACTAACCTGTTTTGAAGCTATCTCATTGCTACTTTCTCAATAAAATTATTAAAAAAGATAAAAATGTCTGACCCCCCAAAAAATGAAGATTAATTTTTAATAAGTCAATATATGTTACTGTTTGAGCAAAGAACTGTTACTGACTAAACATTGGTTAGTGTTTTCTAATATTGTAGGATATTGGAAAGAATGTTTTACTTGTATCTTCATGTTAGTCTCTTTTTACTCCAATGATGATTTCAGTGTGACTATAGTAGTTACTCAGTAAACACCAAATTAATATATATTCCCCAGTCCAACTTAATATGTCAGGAATGGTTAATTTTTTTTTTTTTTGGTGGTACCAGGGATCAAACTCAGGACCTTGTACCTGTGAGACAGGTGCTTATGCCACTAAGCTATGTCCCTGGCTTCAGTTAAGTTAATTCTGATCCATAAATTTAGTTTAAAATAATCTTTAGATAATGATAAATTATTAAAAGAAGGGCATACATAGTAAATGAGGTAAATATTTGGAAACTTTTTCAAATTTGTAAAGTATTACTGTCTGTGGTTTTTAAAATGTAAGTATATTATTTTAGATATTCCAGATAAAGCTAACATTTTATTCTTTAAAATCTCTTTTCCTATTAATTGTGAAAATTAATAACTTTTGCCCTTAAGACTCCATTGGTATTGTAAAATATGCATAGATTTATGTTGGAAGCAATTTTTCTTTTACCTTCTCATTTGTAATACTTCTTAAGTTTATTAATGGATTAAACTACTTTTAAAAAATAGCAGGACTATTAGGTGGGAAGGGTTCCATTTTTGTTCATCTTGATGGAATCCTTAAGAACAGCAGAAAAGACAGAAGCTTGGATGATGTTTAATTTCCTGTCCTTTACCATTCCAAACATGGTATATTTTCTGTTGAAAGTTAGCTGCTCAATGACATCTGAGCTAATAACTCACAGTTTTTTTTTTTTTCCTTCCACTGTTATCTTCTCTTCTACCCTTGCCCTTGTGCAGTGTGATAAACATGTTTGGAATTACAGGGCTTGTAGTAAAGAAGTCTATATGCAAAACTGCATGCATTTATTTGGTACTAGGGATTGAACTCAGGACCTTGCGCTTGCCAGGCAGGCACTTATGCCACTGAGCTGTGTCCCCAGCCCTTGGTATGATTTTTTAAAATCTCAGGCTGAATGTGACACAAAAAGTTGCCCTTATTATCTGCATATTGTAAATTATCCTTATTAAGAGAAATTAAGGGCTGGGGAGATGGCTCAGTGGAATAAGCACTTCCCTGGCAAGCACAAGGGCCTGAGTTCAATCCCTGGTTCCGGAAAAAAAAAAAAAAAAAAAAAAGAGAAATTAAGACATTCTTCTTAGTTTTTGGTGACCTGTATCCTTTGAAGTCTCAAGAATTAAATTTTCTTCCAGAAATGACAAATTAAATGCTTAATTCCATATGTATATTTAGCTGCATGTTATCACTTGAAAACTTAGAATGGACAAATAAACTGACTAGAGAATTAGAAATTAATTTACTTCTACTTTTACCCTTAAGTCTGTCTTCATGTCCTGTAGAAGGAAATGGCTGCCATCTAAATTATATTTTATATATTATTTTCTTCTAAATTAGCATTTAAGAATTATATACATATTTATGAGGCACAGTGATATGTCAGTGTAAAATGAGTACTAAATTTTAAGTGAATTATTTAGTTTTATATTGTCTGTGTTTAAAGGAAAACTACACGTGGAAAAACAAGCAGTAAACTAGGTAAAGTGCCTGTGGTGGCTGTGGAATTTGTGAGTCCAGTTGTTGTTGGGCTGCACCTCTAGGCATCTAGGAAAATGTCAATTGATGATGATGAGCCATATAAAAGAGAATGGCTCACAGTGATTTGAACCCAACTGTTATAAATTTGAAAATAGTTATCCGAGAAATGTGCTGCTGTGGTACGATTAAGCTTGGACTTTGCTGTGATATTTAAGTTGCCTCTGAAATTATAGGAAGGGAAGCCTTGGATCATTGTTTTTTAGGTGGTTAACTTTGTATCCTTAATTAAACTTTTGAAAGTTGTGGGATAAATCAAATGCTTTTCTAGGGAAACAAGAAACAGTATTAATGAGCAACAACCCCATAATTACCCTTGTGAGTACATAACAGGGACACATTCATGTCTTTTCTTTGTGCAATAACTTTTACAAAGAAGTATTTTTAAACTGATCATTAATTTTATGACCACAGAAATGAGATGCAAAATTTATGCTGTTGTCATTGGCACAAGCTCAAGGCACCACTGACATTATGTGTGAGAGTAATAGAATGGCTGGCAACTAATGATTCTGTAGACATTTCATTTGAGCATGCTTTTCTTTTAGATGTCTGATTAGTCTGTAATGCTTTCAATTATGTCTAAATTGTATTGGATGCATTTACCTGATGCTCCATTGTTGATTTGGAGTTCAGTTTTTTTTTTTTATTACATAAACACAAGTTGGGCATTTTCTTTATAATTTATAGAAGGCTTTGCAGGTATAGCTAAAAATACTTGGTCCCTGGGGAGGATAAATGCTTTGTGCTACTCAACAGCGACCCCTGTGTTCAGTTAAAGCTCCTTCTAAAGCAGGTTTTTTTTAAATCTTTATTGGATTGAAAAACAAAATTAGGGAGGGGGAAAATTAATGCATCACCACTGGAACAGCAGTAAGATCATGCTGAAGAGTGGTGTGTTCTTTTGACTTAGTGCAATGGTTAAAAAGGGAATACAACTAACTGTACAGATACCGTATAGATTTTTTACTTTCTGAGTGAAATCAAAGAGATTCCTTCCATGGATGGGAGAAAAAAAAAATCAACCCAGTAGGAGTACTTCATTTATTTTTATTATATAAATGTAAATATCACACTATTAAAAATTACTTTTGTCTTTCAAATAAAACTGGTATAGGAAAGTCTTAGAAAAATAAAAAAAATGCTTCAGTTATGTTAACTGTAGCTCTTAGAATGGATAAATTAAAGACAATCACACCTTCTTTTGTTTTTGTAGCATTAGGGATTGAATCCAGGCTTTTATGCTGAACTATATTCCCCGGATCTTTTTTTTTTTAATTTTATTTTGACACAGGGTCTCATTACGTTGCCTAGTTGTCTTGGTTAGGCTTGAACTTTGCAATTCTTTTGCCTCAGCTTCATGGAGTGCTGGGATTAGAGGTGTAATCACTGTGCTTCACTGTCTTTTTCACTTTAATGAATAATCTGAAAAAAAAAAAAACCCATGTTTTTAGAAGAGTGTTGGAATTTAACCCTGCAGGATTTCATGTATGCTAGGCAGGCACTTTGCCACTGAGCTAAATACTCAGCTGTGAAAAGTACTTACAAGGAAAACAAAGACCCATATGTTTTTAACATGTCAGCAACCCATATGTGCAGAATAAATAGTTATATTATTATTGAATTTATAATTTTAATAATCCTTTTGCTATATGTGTGGATATAGAATATACATGTCAAATGTAAATAGATGTTCTGTATATATGTCTGTGTGGCACATATATACACATAAAAATCTATAATGGATGTTATCTGAGGAAAATTAGCTTCCTAAGGTTTTTAAAACTTTAACATTTTAACTGTCCATTTCTGTATAGATTTAAACCTGAGCACCAGAATTTTTTCAAAATAATTTCCATATATTCTTTTGTTTTACTTTTTTTTATAGTCATGACAGCATAAGAGCTAAGTTCTGAAATATCCTTGTCTTTCTTAAAATCAGGAGATTTATTATTTGATGTGTGATATCAGATGTACTTAGAAAATTCATACCATAAACATTCTTACTTCGTTAGGAATATAAAGATTCTAGCAACGAGAATAACAGAATTTTATGATCTCTATAACTGTGTTTCACATTCTATCACGACATTTAAAATAATTTTAGTGATTCTTTATAACTTTGTTTGGCCTTTGAAATTAAAGCAGTTCTCTCTTCATAGAAGAAATATGATAAGAAATCGTTTAGTATTCTGAAAAGCATTTTGACCATCTCAAAAAAAAGATGCTTTAAGACTTGAAGAATGAGTAGTTTTTATGTGTATTCTTTGGGATTTTAATTGGGGAAGAAACATCATCATGTCTGGTGTACCTAGTGGTAGAACCACTAAGAAAGACAAAATAACCGCCTCTGAATTCTGCTCTTGTCTTCATGAGAGATGTTACTACATCTGTCATTTTCAGGACAGGGATGATGGTGCATGCAATAGCAAAATTAGAAGGAAATGAATGTTTCACTTTTAAATTATTTTGACAATGCTGTTTTGAGAGGCTATTTCCTCTACCAAAAATGTACTGAAAAATAGGGTGACATCCAAGAAATGGGTGTCAGAGGATTAGCCATCATTATGAAGCTCTTAGTGGCTCTAATATGGATCTACCAAAGCACCCGTGTCCAAAGGTAATATTGTAAGTACTCCATCCAGAGTTTTTATGAGAATTTTTACCATTCCTGTTGTGTAATCCCTGAGGCAGCTGTTTATTTTCTTCAATTGTTAAAAGTTAGATATTTAATATAGTACATTTTTTTATTGTTGAATCTCTGTGAAAATTACAGGTCTGACCAATCATTCATTCCATGTTTTAAAAATTGTTTAAACTGAATATACGGAAAAAACTGAAACCACAAGGTTTTTTTTTTCCATGGGGATTAAATAACATAAAGCAAACAGATTTTTAAAAGCAATCCCAAACCAGTCAACTTACAGTTTGTAAATCAAGCTGGAAACTGGCCAGAACATTAAAAAATGGTAGCATGCTACTGAATGAAAATTGAAAGTTTTTGTAGACCTCTGTTTGAATTTTTAAAAACATTGTGAGTGTTCAGTGATCTTTTCAATAAAGGATTTCTGTTCTAAAAAATGTATTGAGTATTTTTAATCTACTCTAATGCTATCTTGTGTTTTTAATGAAAATAAAAGGTGTTCATATGGCTTCAGAGTATCGATTTCTCATCATAATTTTTCAAATTATTGAATAGGTAAATAGGATTACTTGAATTATTTTCAGTGTTATGTTTACTTTTTCTTTTGATTATTGGTCCTTTGATTTTTGAGGGGTTATTTTGGATTTTATTTTATCTTCTGCTTTTTGAGTTCCTTATAGAGACTATCACAATCTTGTGACTTATGTCACAAATAAGCAGTTGTCTGTTGATCTTCAGAAACTACTACACTTATAAGGTATGATAAAAGTGTGGTGTGTATTTAAATTTTAAAAATTATTGCAGTAAAAGACACATTGCCATTACTCCTCATCAAAATTCTTCCCCTTACTTCAAACACATTTATCCCATCCTTCTTGCTATTTTCTGAAGCAGTTCTGGAATTCTTTCTCTCGAATGTATTTAGTTGTGCTGTTGTGGCTGCCTTGATATCCTGAAATAATTTAAAATTTTTACCTTGCATGGTCACTTTGACTTTGGGGAAGAGCCAGAAGGTTCAGATCCAGCGAATCCGGCAGATGAGACAGTGTAATGCTTTACAAGCCTGTCTTTGGTTGGGTGACATTTGGCAGCAGCACTCTGTATTTTGACCACACCTCATAAAGATATAAAGGAGGGTTTCCAGAACTCTTCAGAAAGTGACAAAAATGGTGGGATAAGTGCGTTTAAAAGTACAGGAAGAGGGGAAGTAGTCTTAAGAGCATTATATACTTTACTGTAATAAATTTTAAAAAGTTTATACTCATTTTTGATCACCCCTTGTATATTATAATGGAGATAAGCTAAATTAGGATCTACTTTTACATAGTTCAGAAAGTTTTCTTTGTTTCTTATGACAGTGACTCAATTTAATAGTAAAACTTACCTCATTGAAAAAGTAACAGAATTTTAAATGGCTAAATCATAAAAAAATATTTCCTTGATTCTTTCCAGGTGATGCAGAAGAGGAAGAAGAATATGATGACCCTTTTACTGGGCCTCCAGATACAGTCTCCTTAGCCTCAGAACGTTATGATAAAGATGATGATGCCCCCAGTGATGGTATGTGACACCTTCCCATAGCACGTGCCTCCTGACCGATTCACACAAGGCAGTGCTATGTGCATAGGTGAAGGTCCCGTGGACGCCCAAGGCAGGGCTGTGGGTTAACTTACCTTTACGAGAACCTTTTAAGGAACAGAAGAGCTCTCTCTAGTGGTCCTAGCTGAGGTTTCCTGAAGTATGTAGCTGTTTCTTTTTCTAGGAAATTTTCCTTACCAGAATGTTAGTAGCATGCTTGCAAAATTGTGTGACTATTGCTAGTAACAGTTTGTTGGTTAATTTAATATTACCGAGTTCTTGCTTCATTTTATTGTGCTTAACAGCTTGTTATATTATTTATTTTATAAATAATGAAAAAGGTTTTTGATCTATTTTTTGGTAAAAATTTCATACCAAATGAATTCATAAAATATTAAATTATTCCTACATTGCTTTTTCACATTGACACAAGTTTTTTTTAATCAAGTGCTTCTTTTAGTACACGTTTTCATTTTTCTGATTGTCACTTAAATGCCTTATGTTATGCAGTAATATCATAGCATTATTAATTGAATTAGTAATGAAGTTGGTTATCTCTTAATAATTTCTAAAAACCACTGAACGTTGTTGAAGTTATGAAACTTCCTTTTGTATAGCATGTGCTTTCTCTCTTACAGCCAGTTGAGTACATCTACACTGTAGAAACCTTATAAGGGTGATATACAGTTATAAATTAAGGATATATATTGATAAATTAGCCATGCATATTAATTTGTGGCACTCAAAGTTTCACATAGAGGTAGAAATGAGTAATGCTTTCTGCCACTATATGATGATCAAACTGTGCAGTTCCATCTCTAAGTACAATTGCTGAATGAAAATATGCTTCTTGCAACAGAGCACTCCACATTTTATGTTATCCAGATTATTCCCTTTGGAAACATAAATTGCTTTTATGAGGTATAAAATTATGTCTATTGCAGAACAGGGATAAGTCAAGTACATGCATAAGTGATAAACATTCTAACCACTGATTCAGAACAAAACAATCTTTTTTTTATATCCAGAACTTTGTACAATGTGTAGCAATAATAATCATATCCATTTTATGTTGACTTTACATTTAATTTCTACTTTTAAAGGAAGGATTTTTTTTCCATTTCTATTCCCTTTCTTTTACAAAGATGCACATTTCTCTTCGCTCACACTTATTATACAGAACAGAGCATTACCCTTCCTAGCCTCGTCTTCAAAAGCATTTCTGCTGGAAAGGGTTTTGTAATTGATGAAATAGTATTTCCAGGTCCAACCATGAATTATCACTTAAGTTGCACTATTTTTCAGACGTTATTTTTTGCTTCTCTGTAAAATGTTGGTGATGTCAGTGAGTATGTAAGCATGTATGTTTACATTTACTCCCATATAGAGAGCAACTGTACTCAAGAGAATAGACGCAAAATGTGCTCAATAGAATACTAGAAAATACGCGGAGTGTTTCAAAATAAATATTTTGATGTACAGGGAAGCCTTATGTGCATTCTTAAAACATGGCAGCCTAAAAGGGAAGTTAAATATCTGTGAGTTAGATATCTGTGGGATCCAAAAATCTATTGATAGCTAATCATACATTTTCATAGCCAAGTATACAGGAAACACAAAAGTATGGAAAAGATTTGTTGTTAGATTAGTTTAACAATACTTGAATCTTATTTACTAACATTTATGTATAACTAAATTTTATTTAAATACTGGTGCATTTTTGTTAGTATTTAAGCAATACTTAAGCAGATTGAAAATTTCACGGTTAGTATCATTCATTTTTGAGATGCAAATAATGTGCTTTTATTTAGTTTTACATTTTCTTCTAAAAACATTATTATATATCAATTTTCAAGCCTCCACTTGGACCTTTAAATTTCTAACTGCAAAATATATCTCATCATATCATTCTTTTCTCCCTATAATTTAAATTTTGTCTGTGTTTTCTTTCCTTTCCTGAACAAGTTTCCTTTATATGTGACCTCAGTTTGATAATGTATTAATTATAAAAAAGATAATGCACTTATAATAAGTATAACTGATTTAGCACAGGTCACCCGAAGGTCTTTTGTCAAATCATATTGTTGTTTTGTCCTTTTGACTTTTACCTTATGGTAGGTACTAACAAAGTATGTGAACTTTGATGGATTATAAACTCTAAACATGATATGTATTTTTCATAATGATAATGTAATTTCCAAGGTACTGAAAAGGTCAAACCTGCACGTCTCCATGTGCATTCTAAGTCTGTCTTTCCCTTTAATATTTCTTTTTCTCTGTTGCTCTGGTTCAAAAGTTCACTCAGTTCCCAAATGGCCACCTAATTTTCCAGTTATTCCCTCAAGCCATATGTGTTTTGGTTTCTTTATGGTTTATTAGGTACTGTAGGAAAGTAGCATAAGTTATATCTTCTAATGAAATCCAAGCACACTTCAGTGATGCTTTGACTTGATTGCTGGTAGCAATTAAATCACAGCCAAAGAGAATAATGTATAATCACACAAGGTCCAGACACCCTATAGAAATTGAATGGGGATGAAAACAGAAAACAAAAACAAAATCTCCAAACCCTGCCAGACATGCTGTTCCCAACTTGCTTTTTTTTTCTCATTGGCCAACTGCCTGATTGATAGCAAAATCATAACTTGCTGTATGCTAACAGGCAGAGTTCACTTGTAGGTTATTGTGAGCTGATAAAGGGTTAGATGGAGTTTTGATTTTCACATTGGACCTTGGTACAGCAGATTAATGGAATTTCAATGAGAGACTCGAGTATCCACAGCTTTGTCAGAGAAACAGATGGAGATTCTATAGTCATGTCTACTCATTAATACGAGTTGCCTGAAAGGTGTGCTGCTTCTCTATACAAAAGGGTTGATATAATTGATTTTTGAGTGGCATATTGAAAAAAGTGCTTTATTGATGACTAGAATTGTAACATAAATGGTGACAGATTTTTGTGTAGCTTGCAACATAAAAAATATTGCACTTAGTAATCTTTTCATCTCTTTGAAAAGATTTTGTATATTTTTCAAAGAAAGTGTAACTTAAGACTAATTACAAAAAGGGAGAAAATAATATACTCAATTTTTTTTTTTAGGAAAAAGTAAGAATCTTTATTTTCTTTATAAATGATCACATTACAGCTATCAGTTTCAATTGGCATGGTAATACTGAAAAATTTCATTTTATTTGCTTTTTGTTTAATTTTTCTAGAAAATTAAAAAAGCCAAGTTTCTACACTGTCACAGGTCATTGATAGTTTTATGCTTATTGTGTAGCTGGAGATACATTGAAGGGTTGGTATACTTGTGCATATTAGCAGTCAGATAAAATCAGAGACAAGTCTTAAAACTTTAAAGAGTAATCTCCCTTATTGTATTCATGTTACGTATAGCCAAGGCTAGCTTCTAGCCATCATAAAATGACTTTAGTTTTCATTTTTATCCATTCTGAAATAATTTTTCATTTATTATTGTCATTTACGAAAGAAGCTTCTAACCGTGTAGCGTCGTGGCAAGTCCCTGAGGTAAGGTGAAAGGATTCAGTGAGCTAGAAGACATATATTGGCTCTGCTCGTCAATGATAGGTCGAAGGGTCCCACTGGACATTTGTTACAAATCTGATTCAGTCCTAGACCATAATCACTTTGTGGATAAGAATCTGGAACCTCTAGGGTGTGAATATAGAAAGGCTCAAATGAAAGTGAAGGTATAGAAGAGACATTTATTGTTCTGATATCTTCCTAACTGAAAATTCTCAAATAAAATCAGTCGTTGAAAGCTGTGGGCATTGGCAAGGCCATACATTGTTATGAAATAATACTTGTTTAGGAATGAAACAGTGTTGTTAAAGCTTGGGGATTAAGAAAAAGGACTATTTTGATCATAATTTATGATATGATTGAATTTTTCTCTTTTTTGGTATGTGTTCCTTTAAGAAACTCTGGTGTTTAAAAATTTCTAAATTTTATAAAACATAGAAATCACTCCAAAAGATTGCTTAAAAAGAACTATCTCTAAATGCTTATATATTTATAAATAATGAACTTTATGATTCAGCTAAACAGATTTAGGAATGCACCCATTCATGTGCTCACACCTAAGTTTATGTACTCAAGTTTTGAGGATGATTTTTTTTCTTTTTTTTTTTGGTGTAGAGTTAGGGGTAGCATTAACAAGTTCTTATAAAAGCCACGTGGTAGGTGTTTTCACTTTTCACAGATTATGAAATAGTATTTACCACTAGAAAAAATTCTGTGAGTAAAATTCCTTCATTTACTGCTTAAGGTAAATGTTTTTGTATTGTAGTATTGTGGTTTTCCTTTTTTTTTGGGGGGGGGCAGGGGTCTGCAGGGTGTTCAGGGTCTCACCACTAGATCAGATTTGTAGTGATCCACCTGTTTACAGCCTCCCAAGAGCTGGGATTACAGTACACGTCTCAATTGCCATCTCAGCGCGCCCCTGGGTGGGGCTGGCAGTGATTGAACCCCAGCCCCTGGGCCTGCTTGCAGGTGCTTTAACCCTCTGAGATAATTGGCCAGCCCTAATATGGTGGTTAAAATTATGTTTTAAGTCCTCTGAGCATTTAAATTAGTTTCCAACTTGAACATATTTTTGTATATAATATGTATTAATAATGTATAGTGGTTTTTAACTGTTTTATGTTGTCAAATTGCTAGCTTGTGTATATTTTAACAGCATTAGAACAGTGATTGGGGGGAACTACCCTCTCGGGCCCCCCTCCTGTCCCTCTCTTGGACAGGAGCTTTCTTTCTCTCAATAAATATATTCTACTCATAAAAAAGAAAAGAACAGTTATTATTTTAGTCATTTCTGGTATGTGTATAGCATAGTTTGAAGAACTGAGAGAAGGGAAAGGATTACAGTTTAGCGAAATGATAAAAGGTATAGATATGTAAGCATACAGATTATGAAATAATTTTGTAGTACAGAAATATAAATGGGTAAATAAAAAATAAA